AGGGCGAGTGTCAAGAGTATGGGGCCAGACTCTTTTCAGCAGTGCCCAGCGACAGAACAAGGGGCAACAGGCACAAACTGGAATAAGGGAAATTCTGTCTGAACATGAGGAAAAAATTCTTTACTTTGAGGGTGGCAGAGCACTGGCACAGGCTTCCCAGAAAGGTTGTGGAATCTCCTTTTCTGGGGATATTCAAAACCCACCTGGATGCGTTATTGTCCAACCTCCTCTGGCTAACCTGATCTGGCAGGGGTCTTGGACTAGGTGATCTCCAAAGGTCCCTTCCAACCCCTGCCATTCTGTGATTCTGTGATTAGAAGCAGAGGGCAGAGTGTGCAAGCAGTATCTGTGTGGGGAGCTCAGAAAGCCCCAGAAAAGCTGCTAAGTAGACTGCTGTTCCCGACTGCGGCTCTGCCAGCCGGCTGAACAGATTGCTGGTGCATGAGAGCAGCATGCAGCAAGAGGGAAGGGAGCAAAAAGGCATAGTGTGGTGGATGCTGCGGAGTCAGGAGTGAGAGCTCACTGATTTATTTCATATTTACAAATTAAATGTTAGGCTTCTAATCAGTGCTATATAAAACAGGGGAAAAATGGATTCCCACCTAAACCAGCTTATTATCCACATAGGCGGAGAGCACAGTAATGAGTGATTGTAGGAAATGTTTTCCATAACCTCTCTTGGCTTTGGTCTCTGCACTTTCTGAAGGGACAGAATCAACACGCACTAAAACCAATAAAAACCTTTGCAAATTGATCTCAGTGCTGTCAAAATCCAACCTTTTGGAGGATTACCTATGTGTACCAGCCCTCCAACCCGTAATATTAAGACGGGAACAACAGGAAGAAGGAGAAAACATGGGCAAGCCGTTTCAGGATAGGATAGTTTTGGAAGCCTTTCATTCCCCTCCTGTCGCTAATAAGGGACAAATGATGGAACAAAGGGGTTAAATGCAAGTTGTGCTCAGATAAACAAATCCATGGGAGATAAAGCAGTTGCCATGCCAGCTGACACCAAAAGCAGCCAGCACACATTTGGCATGTAGGAGAGGATCTAAAAGGCTGCGCTGAGCTCCGAGGCTCATCGTACACAGGCTGTTTCTTGGCTTTAGCTTTGCCAGCCCTGATCACTTTACATCAGGAGCAACAATTGTTTGCCTCGAATTTTTCATCCGTCGGAGGGTAGTCAGGAGGTAGGTATGTTTTCTGGGGGTCAGCAAATGAAAATCAAGAAAATCTGATAAATGTGGAAATACGGGACACGAAATATCTGGGTCTCTGCCACTAACTCTACGGGTAGCCATTGGCAAAACCTTTGAATATTTTTTTTTTTCTTCTCTTTCACCTCTTCATGTAGAAAATAGAAAGAAGCAATATATTCTACATTCCATTTCTGTATTTGGTCTTTGGAACTGACAATTCAGCATTCTGATGAATCTTCTCTGGGGTCTCTAAGCAGTACTGCAAATAACGTCTAATTAATAATGACAGTTAAAGCACTAATGGAAAATTTGCTTTGCTTCCCTAAGAGTGACACCTATTCAGTCTGGTCAAACAGTGAATAACACTGTCTGTCAATATACTGGGTAACCCATCCTTTGTCAAGGATAACATCAGCTTCCTTGGGAGCTTATTGACTAATGTGAGCAACCATTGATTTTAAAAATGGTGTTCTAAGACACTGTTTAATAGCTGTTGTTGGGTCCGTCTTTCTGTAGTTTGGGCTGTGCTGTTACTTAACTACACGTGAGGAGCACAGGTGTCAGTGTAAGTCATGAAGGTTATCCTTGAGTTAAAATCCTGCAAAATGGGTTTCCAGTCAAAAAGTTTGGTTTTTTTTTTCTGGGAAAATCATGTATTTCATCTAGCTTGTTGCATAATCATCTTGATGGGCTTTCTCTGCTTCATCAGTGAAGTCTAGTGAACCAGTTTCTTGTCGTTTATGTCCTAAGAGTAAAGCAATGAGAGGACTCACATGAAAGCTCGTGCAGTGAAGTGCCCTACAATTTTGCCCATTACAGCACTGACACCAGAGAAAATTTGCTGAGGTCTCTTTAGAGTCAGAAAGGCAATCAGGTGGAAAAAAAACCAAAACAAACCAAACACAAAATACCATTTCAGGGTAACAGTGAAAAATGGGAGGGACTTCCTTATGTCTGGACTTCCTAGAGCCCCAGCTCAAATGCAAGCTCAGGCTTTGTCCCTATATATGTGGACATGTTAAATGTTAAGCACAGAAAGAATCCAAATGAACGCCATCGCAGTCTCATACACGTGAGCAAACATAGCCATTGGCACAGTTATCTGTCATGTAAATATCCATATTCTGGTGCAGGATGCAGAAACATATGGTGTCAGAGAGAAGGGCAGCAGTGGCATGCAGGAATTTAAAGCCAGATGGTGGCTGTATGCTCCCTCATTGTGTGCTTTTATATATATATATGCATACACATACGAATATACTTGTGTATATTATCCCAACACTCAAAGGTGAATTTTGACTTTTAGTTGTAATTCAGGGCATAGTGTTCAGCGTAAATCTAATTGACTTTCCAGTAGCTTAACTTATTAGTGAAAATTAGGTTGATGGATTAAGCCTAAAAGCCTGTATAGGAAAAGGTTGTACTGAAACTTTCTTCAGTACATTAGCAAGGACTCAGATGTAGAAAAATATGTTCATAAAAGGCAAGCTTACTCCTACAGTAATCAGAAAACATAGTCAAAACCATGAATCCTTTCATAACCTCCAAACACAGTTAAAATGCAATAATAATGTGGATATATATATAAAAAAAATTAATATAAAAAGCTTCTAAATTTCACTAAACTACATTAATATGATGTTTCAACTGCTATTACAGATGTCATGAAATTAAAAATGAACTAAAATCTAATATTTTAACATCAGTGTGACTAACTACCATCCATATTTAAAGTGAAATAATGGTAATTTTTATTTCCTCCTTTTTAGATAAAAATAGCTGCATTTAAAACTTTTAAATTTCAAAAAAAGATATCTTTCTGAGCCATCAGTGCAATATGCCAGGATACCAGGAACATCAGGCTTCAATCTACTTAGCATTGGCCTGGTCTTCCTCCAACAAGAATTCTGGAAAGTTTGTAATATCACATTTCAGGATTTAAGCAATACTGTACAACTAGTGAAGTAAAAATGGATTTTTATGAGTCGAAAAGTTTTTTTGAGGTTTTTTGCAGCTTCTTCTTAACCTTCTTCTGTGGGTAAGGCTGTTGGGTGAGGTGACCTCATGTAAGGAACCAATTCTATTACGAGCTAATGATCTGAGTGTCAGCAGGCTATGAAAGACACTGAAAGAAAATTTTTACTGTGGGTAAAAATTCCCAGAGGGTATCCTAAAGTTGGTATTCTGAATTCAGATTTTAGCAATGTAGACATCTATATCTGAGCTATATCCCTGTTAGTAAACCTGGGGTTTTGTAAGCTTAGGAGAGAAAAAGGTCTCTCCAAAATATTCTGCAGAGGCATCTCTGTTATTCTGCCAAGAATCTGGAGCACAGTCACAGCGCTTCTGCAGCATCTGCTAATTTAGCCTGATGTAGCAGGTCGAACTGGAAAATGTTTGCTCAGACCTTTGCTGACTTCTCTTCAGAATTAGTGCAACTGCCCAATAATTGCAAACATCCAAGAATTCTCATATGTGAAATCTTGAAAGGAGCTGGAGTTGGTCAGAGAAGCCAGGAGACCAAGGGTGTTCTCATCATGGCTTTCAGGATTAACCCTCCAGAGTAACTGGTGGGTTGAATGTGTAGGTTTGATGTTGAATATGTCCACTCAAAGACACAGTACAGCCTACCTGATGCTTCAGCTTAGCTTTCTAGTCTACCACCATCATCTTCACACTAAATCCTCTTTTTTTCTGTCTTAGAAGATCAAAAAGCACATCTGATTTATTTTAAAGGAGATAAATCAATGCATTTTAAATTATTACATGATGGAGAATTTGAAAAAGTATAAAACATAAAATGCGTTTTATGCTGTGCTGAAAAGTCTCTTTAATATTTTGCTTTCTTCGATGCTGTCTTTCTCCTTCCCTATAGGATCAAAATCAATCATTGTTTGGCTTTCACTTTTAATAAAAAACCCTCTCATACAAATCGGTGAACAGCTTTTCCAATCCCTCATTAAGATTTGGCCATATGTTCAGGGTTAAAGAACAACAACCTGTAGCCCTGTGGTTACTCCAGGGGATACAGAACTAAGCTAATCTAAACACTTAACCTACCTTAGTGGTCAGGGAAACATTGGAATTCCTTTTCCTGCTCGGTAGGCCACTGGCAGAGCTATTTGCGGACAGCTTTGTCAGGCTCATCAGCATCTCTCTCTCCACGATGCAGCAGCACCACTCGGTGGCTTAGGGCAGCTCCTCTTTATGCATTCCCCAACACTGAACTTGAGCCAAAAATCCACCGAGGATTCAGGAAAAGTCTGCCTTCAGTGCAATTCGGGTTAAGTACTTAGTAGGGTGGGTGGGAGATTGGTTTGAGATAATGCCAACGTTTTATTTTGGAAGGACAAAATGAAGGAAAAGGAAATTTTTTAATGCAAATATGAAATTTTATGATTTGTCATTGTAACATTTGTATTTTTGGTATACAAATCAGCATGGGTCTCAGCATAATATTTTGGAAATGTGTGTGTCCTTCTTATTTCGGACACACACACCCCCCCAAAAAAAAAGGAAAAAAGAAAAAAACAGCTGACAAAAAAGGTCGTACAACTCTTTTTCACATCCTTCCTAGAGTTTGATGAAACTCCATGATAACTGGAGATTTAACAATACAATGCAATTGACCATCTTCTGAAAGCCACTTTTCAGCTGTAATAATACAGTCTTATCTTGAAAAAAAGGAATTAAACAAAATTTTCTTGCAGTTCTTCTCTGCGCACTGCTACATCCAGTCCTCTTATGGGAAGCAAATTATTATCAAGGTTAAATTAATTATTTTTGTTCTTCTAATTTCAGGTTGGGAAGTAGATAACTTGGGGCAAACCCATGCAGGTAAGAACCAGTTGTGCTGACTACCTCCTACGTACCTCTGTTCTCAAAAATTGTATGTAGAGCATATGATAACATCAGATTATTAGAAAGTTGTTTGTGCATCAACAATTATGATAATTAATGCATGTAGTTCATTGTGACACAGTGATAAAAAGCAAAAGTAAAAATCTGGTAAATTTCTAGAAGTCGATGTGATCTAACTTAAAGCCACCAAATTAAACTGTCTTACTTAAAACCAATTAATTATTGCCTTTGGTCACTGATGAACAGAAATAATTTTTCATTAATTCTGTGAAAACTGACCGTATATCAATATCTGTGGTTTATAAATGGAAATTTCTAAGGATATAATATTTGACTTTAATACTTCTTTAATAAAATTGGTCTTAGTTTGATTGCATGTGTTTTTAGCCATGTGCTCTCTGGTTGCAGTAGCAATTTTTTAATTTTATAGGTCCAGCTTTGATTTAAACTCACAGGTAAAACTGTGTTTACTTCCTGACAAGACAAAATCAAGTATTTATTGCCTTTGGGCCTGATCCAAACAAATAAAAATCAATTGGATCCCATTCACTGATTTCCGCAGAGGCCAGTTTGGGTCCTAATAGAAAATACAATCAAAACAATTTCATACCAAATTTCCACTTTTATAGGTGATTATGACCTGCTGGAAAGCACAGCCCAGTCTCCCTTAGGTAAGAAACAGAACCATGGAATGTTTCGCTTTTTATTTTAACGTTCTTAAAAAGGAAGCTCCAAGCTTTTTCTCCTGCCATTTAGGTATTATTTTCAAATGAGTTCTAATTATGGTGACACATTTTCTGGTGCATTACTTTTAGCAGTATTATGAAAATTTATTCCTCCGCTATTGAGTTTTGCAATCTAGCAAGTATGTTGTTGTAAATTATATCTACCTGCTTAACAGTAATTACTAAATGGTGTTAAGGAAAGTCAACACCATGATTAAGTGGTTATTTTCCATAGAAAACTAGGGATGAATGTGCAAGAGTAATTTACCAATATTTGCCAAGTAATGCAATGTTCTTAAATGAATGCTGTGATTAAATAGATATATTCTGCTGCATGGATGGCAAACAGATTCTCTAAAAATAAGGTCACTGCTAGTGTTATGAGCTACTTGACTAAACTGCTCTAAGAATGCGAAGCAGCACAACCTTATTAAAAAAAAAAAAAAAAAAAAAGGTGGAAATTTCCATCAATTTTCGTCAAGGTACAGCTCAAACTCCAAAAACTGTAATAGTTCGATAAATGGAAACTGTGCTATTGTGCTGGAGAGGAGTAAGTGCAGCCAGCAGCCCAGCTCTAATTTTTCAACCAGGTCACTGAGCTCTGGCAAGAGTACTGGTGCTTAAAAAGCGCACCACGGGGGCCGTCCCACCTTAGGCAGCCTCAGCCACAAAGTGAGTGTCAAGAGACACTTTCCTCTTCTACCCCCAAGCTCTTCTTTCCCAATACAGTTTTAAGCCTTTTGACTGTGTCAGTGAAAGCCATTTAGGAGCTGGTGTTTATATGAGATTAGCCAAGCAATTAGAGTAAAAAGAGACAAAAAGAGTATGAATTTTTGTCTGAGACAGTTTTGAGCCTCCTTGCAAACACTTGTTTTAGGGTAAGGTTATAAACTGGGAGTGGAACAAATAATAGACAGAGGAATATGAGAAGCTCTGAAACAGGTTTGAAATTGTCAACTGAAGCCACACTGGGCATCTGGAGATGTAAATGAACACAGAGCTCTGAAGACAGAGGCAGGGGCGGGATTCCTACTCTGTCTTTGTTTTCCTACAGACCCTTCTCACAAAGTCACTCTCAGATCACAGCCTAGGCTTGAAGATGAATGAGTGGCATACATGTTATTTGACTGCAGGACAACAGTTCAGCTTCCTCACCATAGACATGTAATGTCTGTTTTACATATCTTACAGTATTCTGCCTGGCTTCCAGCAGCTGCTCCAAAAAATCGTGTCAGCCTGGTGTTTTCTTGTCAGTTCCATGCAGATACCTGAGATATAGATTATCTTAAAGTGCCTACCTATATTTAAACACTGGACTTAACCTGTAGCCATCTGAAGTGTAATGTCTACTCCAAAGCTGTGTTCCCTAGATGCCTTTCAGAGTCAGTGGAGAGAAATGGACATTTAGCTGACCTCTGGTTTAGATACCCGCTTGGGAACGGGATCTTTGGTGCCCTGGAGGCACTGACTGTACTGGTTAAATCTTTTTTGCTCTGTGGTGACCAGCTGCAGTAGTAGACATCCGTAGGCGCCTACTGTAGAACTAGGTTATTAAAGATGTCATTAAAGATACCATTAAAGTATTCTATGCATAACCAGATAAATAGTACCCCAGTGGTACTGTGGGGTTTTCTTTGGTCATGTACCAAGGGGAGGGAGGGTATGTCCTGTGGTTTGCTTCAGCAATGTCACATTCCCAACTGTACTTGACATAGGGGACATCAGCAGAAATTGCACTGAAGATGGCTGGTCTGAACCTTTTCCTCATTATTATGATGCCTGTGGCTTTGATGAAAATGAAACAGAGTCTGATAACCAGGTGGGAACTAATCTTATAATTAAAAACAAATGAAGGGGGAGAGCAGCAGGCTGCTTTTTGTCCAGCCTCTGGCCATGTTCTGATTTGATGGTGATTAGAATGAAACAATCAGATATTTATGGGCATAAAAATGTGAGAAATGAGATTCAAATCCTTCCTAGCTCTATACTGAATATTTCCAGAGTATGATTGTTTACTGTTGATATAGCATGTAACTTCTAGAAGCCCCCAGTTCTTCCCCTGTTGACTGAAGAATCCCTTAGCCAATGATTATTTTTTTTTCTACAGATACATGCACAGTGACCAAAGAAATAGAGACAGCCTCTGTTAGCTCACTGACATACAAGCCTCACAGTATGCAGAACCAAGGGTATGCCAGACATAGAGTAATGCTTTAATATACAGTGAGATCTCAGGGGAACCAAGAGGGGAAAATAACCAGGCTGTTCAAGAAACAAATCTTGCCTATGGCTCCCCCTGCATGTTGACAGGGTAAGGAAGATGTGACCGTAGATGAACCATTTAACTCTGTGTTGTTTGCCTCCCAAGGATTACTACTATCTCTCTGTGAAGGCTCTGTACACGGTGGGATACAGCACTTCTCTTGTTTCCCTCACCACTGCCATGGTTATCCTGTGCCGTTTCAGGTGAGTCAGGACATGAGCAGGGAGCTGTTCTGCCATGGTAGGAAAGGGTTCGGAGCTCATTGGTCCAAAACAATATTCAAGCTTTTATCTTACCAGATGTAGAATAAGAGATTGACAGCCCTTTAATAGCGTTGTTCCCCCAGCTTTGACACACATTTCAGTAGACTGTAGATGCAACTGTAGAAGCTGCATTGGACTGGGTCTATTTTATGCAACCCTGCATGCTTTTACAGGAAAATCCCCAAATCGTTCTCTTGGCCAGGTTTAGGGTCAGTGCTATCCACATTCCTGACTTTCAGATGTTGCTATTCTTATCATCAAGGTGCTAGGAGCTCTGGCCATGTGTGCAGATAGGCCTAGTGTGCTAAGTCCACAAAATAAAGTCTTTTTTTTTAATTTTTTTTTTCTTTTCCTCTCCCTTGCTCTTTCATCTCTAGGAAGCTTCACTGCACTCGAAATTTTATCCACATGAACCTCTTTGTTTCATTCATCCTGCGTGCAATATCTGTATTCATTAAAGATGGGGTTCTTTATGCTGAACAGGACAGCAACCACTGTTTTATCTCAACAGTAAGTAAAACCAAAGCCAAAACTTTTTCCTGTTTTTTTTGGTTTTTTTTTTTAGCATGAGATAACGACAAAATAGTGAGGCATGCAGCAGTCTGTTGGGTATCACAGGCTGAGAAGCTATTGGGAGAAAAGGTAATTGGTGGTAAACTTCTCTCCAGCAAAACTGTGATGGTATCGCCTCACCAAGTCATCAGTGTCCAGTGGTCTGTCCTTTAGGACAAACTTACAAGTCACGGTTTCTGATGCTACTTGAGTTGTTTCTCCCTTTCACAGATCTGCATAGTGATAGGTGGAATGAGAGCAGACACAAGCAATTTCTTTCCTCTAAAGGTCTGTTTTTTCTCCAGACCTTTATTTGTTTTGGATGTCTGGCAGAGTCATGTGTAAAGAGGGTGACCATTCAGACACTGAAAATACCCCTGACATCATACCCTCAAAAAATCATTAGTATTAACCATGTGTTTGTTCCTGAAGTGTGTGGTTTAATGGAAAGCAGTCTCTTCTGCAGATGCATTTAGCGATATGTTACATGTAAATCCCAGTCCCTCTCACATTTATGGCTAGTATTTGATTTGATAAATCAGCTCAACGGGTGTAATTATGGTGGAATTACAGCAAATTCCCAAAATGAGATCTCCTTTATCCATCCAGTTAGGAGCTAAATTCCCTATGGGCGCCTTCCACAAGGAAAGTGCAGCTGTGTAGTTTCTTAGTCAGCCTTTTATTTGTCATTGAAACTAGTTTTTGCTTGTAATTCTTCTCCATTATGAAGTTGAAACCATGTTAAATCTGTAACTTGTTCACACCACTCTTCTAATAGTGGCACCTGCCTCTTTGTTTTGAAACACCTGAAGCATAAAGCACATTAAAATCAGGCATCTAATGACCAGATCTTCAGCCCTGATAGAGCTTCCATGAAGAAACTCAAGATCTGATGTTTTAAGTGTATTGGTTGTAGATTTGTCCTAGAGGATGGAGTGCAAGTGAGAACCAGTCAAAATTGTTAGCTTCCCACTGCTCCAGGTGGGAGCTTCCAGTTTATAGACTGGTTTTGCTCTGTTTTGTTGAAAAGTTCTGCTTTTGTAGGACTAATAATGTCTCACTGGGATGCAACACTGGAAAGGCAAGTGTGTCCTACTCTCACAGAGTCAAGGTAGAGCTTGGTTTCCACCTAAGGCTTTTATCGTAGAATCATAGAATCATTTAGGTTGGAAAAGACATTTAAAATAATAGAGTCCAACCATCAACGTAACACTGCCAAAACGACCAGTAACCCATGCCCCTAAGTGCCACATCTAAATGTCTTTTAAATACCTCCAGGGATGGTGACTCCACCACTTCCCTGGGCAGCACGTTCCAATGTTTGATAAGCCTTTCAGTGAAGAAATTTTTCCTCATATCCAATTTAAACCTGCCCTGGTACAACTGGAGGCCATATCCTCTTGTCCTATCACCTATTACTTGGGAGAAGAGATGAACCCTCACCTTGTTATACCCTCCCTTCAGGGAGCTGTAGAGAGCCATAAGGTCTCCCCTCAGTCTCCTTTTCTCCAGGTTAAACAATCCCAGTTCCTTCTTTTTTTTTTTTTCTTTTTTTTTTTTTTCTCTTTTTTTTTTCTTTTGTGCACTGCTTTCCCCCCTAGCAAATGAATGAAAGCTTCTGTCGTTTTTTTTACAGTAAAAAAAACCTCTTACTCTGCTTTCTTTACACTTAGGCTTGCTTTCATTTTCTGTCCCTGAGTGACAACACCTGCAAATGGCAAGGAAGTACAATTCTCAACTGCACACAGGAGGGTGCATCCTTTCTGATCCCACTCTCAGGGCTTTCCACAATCGTCCTGCCATTTCACATCCTTCCTTAGGTTTCTCAATACACAACTGGATTCTTTTCTTCTCTGCACTTAATCCCTGGAAGGGTGCTTAAATCTAGCAATTAGCGTCCATTGACGATGTGAACTCCCACTAATGCGAGATGTTCTCAAGCTGTCTGTAGACACTTGTCGATCACCTCCCACTGGTAAAATTGGCTACCTGGCCTTTCAAGCTTCGCTCTCTAAGTGGCACCTCGCATTCTTCTCATGCTTTTAAAACTTTACTATTAAAAGTGCATAAAACCTGTCCCAGCTGTGTTCCTTTCCAGTAAGACATTTGGAGAGGTTGAAAGCATTTTCTCTACCTGTTAGGCGGAAACAACATGGAAATAACTTTGTTTTTCTTGATTCTCTGCAGGTGGAATGTAAAGCAGTAATGGTGTTTTTTCACTACTGTGTCATGTCCAACTACTTCTGGCTTTTCATTGAGGGATTGTACCTTTTCACTTTATTGGTAGAAACCTTTTTCCCAGAGAGGAGATATTTCTACTGGTACACTATTATTGGCTGGGGTATGTGACATTTCTTCTCTAAAATGTGTCTCAGTGTGCAAGACAACTCCATGAACCATCTAATATTTCCACATATATTTTCAAAATATAGTTTTAGTCTTTGTATAGAAGTACCACTGCAGACCGAAATGTGTTGTGCTTTTTTGTCTGAATAGAGTTAAAATGAAACCTGGAGGACACTGTATCCCTTGCAGAGATGCAGTCCACAACCGAGAATTGCCTTCTACAAAATATGATCTTAATGCCAAGTTCTTCAGTTTAATCAAATCTGCAATGTTAAGTCTAGTCCATTTTCTAAGACTTCATTTCTGCCTTTCTTCCAGATAATAGCTAAATTGAAAATGTATCCAAAGGGTATCCACATATGCTCATCCTACCTGGATGGGAAATAGAAACTTGCAATAGGAAGAAACAAGATTTGTTTCAGAAAGGCCAGTTGTACCATGAAAACCAGTGTAATTATTTTTTTGTTCTGGCTTTCTGGATATAAATTGATTTCTGCAAACATGTTAACTCAAACAGTTCTTTGCTGATGTTTTTGTGCAGAAGTTGGATGATGACAGCAGAAGAAAGCATTCATTTTAAATGTACCCTAGGAAGGTTAAGCTCAATTTTTATACTTAAACAAACATATTTCTGAAATAATCTGGAAATAATCCTGTATGTTTATGTGTAAACTCTACATACAAATCACATTCCTCAAACTATTCTCCTCTGAAAAAAAACCCATATTTGTGTAACCTGAACCTTCAAGTAATCCACAGCTGGTTTTGTTTTTTCCCTCCTGAGGCAGGTCTAGATACACAAAAATTCTCTTCTCCTGGCAAAGACTTAATACAACAGGAGTAAAAGTGTAGAGAAGAAAGAAGAGAACAAGAGATCAGAAATAACAAATGGCATATAAAGGCTAATGGAGAAGGATGACTATGGGAAAAGGCTATTGGAAAAGAAACTACTGGAAAAGGATATTCAAAGTTCCCTCTGTACTAGCCACAGATGTATAATTACATTATAGCTGAGATACAAAGCTGCTTTCGAGAAGAACTTGGGGGGTATCCATTAATAACACTAAGAGAATCTCCAAATGTAGATGGTTTTGTTTTGTTTTAAATGCAATATTTTCTTAGCTCGTGCATATTTCAACTTGAATAGCAGTTTCCCTGACCTGGTCGGAGCAATTGGCACTTTGCAAGAACAGAAACTCTTCCAGACTCTGAATGCAAAAGCATTCCCACAGCCCAGAGCCAATGGGGAGGGAGCTGCACTGAAGCAGCAATAAGCAAAAGCTCAGCATTTTGTGGCATCTGGATGTTTATCTGTTTCTTAAAATGTGCTGAGCACGTCAGTGTCCTAGTTTGATTAATGAGAACTACATATGGCTGTGTCGATCCAAACAATTTTTTCTTCTTGAATATGCAATATGCTGGTAGGATCTCCGGATAGACTGCTGTCTTCCTGAGATCTCTCCTAATGCCTGCTCCTTACTTAGGGCAGAAACACAGTCAGCAAGAATAGCTCTTCTCAGCCTTTGAGGTTTGTCTGCTTTCTAATGTTGCTCAGAAGCTGAAAAGAAGGTGATGAAGACATATGTATCTTTTGATTTAAAGAAAAGTAATGTGAGTATATGCATATTCATGTACAAGATGGTTCACAACTCCAAACTGACCTGAAATGTGCTTTTTTAACTATATTGTTACGCCACATTTAGTGTAATTCTGCCTTCCTGTCCATGTTTCAGACTTGGAACACTGTTCATTCCATCAAAACTTATATAGTGCAAATCAGTGCAAACGAGGTAGCACATCAGATCCATGATTGATATTTAAAGGTTATTTTTATTATTATACATCTGCTAAGTTCACAAAGATCTCAATGTTTTCTAAGTATTCTCATGTGAGAAAAGCAGACTTCAATTTAAATTAAATATGCATGATTTCTTCTCCCCAAAGCCTGTCATTTTATTTCTTTTTACCATTTTCATTTCAAATATTTCTGTGTGTGCTTTTTTAAAGGAGGAGGGCTTAATCAGTCATCTAAGTCTAACAGGGATATTTTCATTTCTGACAGCAGGAATATGAGATTTGACAGAGACTCACTTTAGTGGATTCAGTGGAATGACTAATTAGTGTGACATCAACACAGCCTTGCAAAATGTATGAAACATAATTGTTCCTGTCAACTTATGACAGTCTCATTCACCGCTGCAAGCTGGGGTTATCAAGGTCCTTGTTTTGTTTGCTTTTTAGCACTTTATCTTTCTAGTGCTGCCTGAATAAGTGCAGGCAGTTTCATAGTCAAAGGTTTTATTTGCCATAAAATGTAGATTGAACTTGCAGAGTTTCCTTGCAAGACTGTGTTTTTTTATAAAAATAATTCCACTGAAAACCCACACTTTTAGTGTTTTCAGAAAGGAAAGTAAATCGAGGTTTCTCAGTGGATTCTTACTGTTTTGATTTAATATGTATTTTACATGCATTTTTTAAAAAGTAAAGAAATGTCTGAATCTGAAATTAAATTCTTGCTTCCAATATTCTCTTTTGGGGGTGTGAGGTGTTTTTTTCATGAAAAAAAGTGAAACATTCTTGTGAGTAATGAAAAATTATCCTCTACTGATTTCTTTTAGTTGAATAAGTAAGGCAAAATCAGCTATTTAGACAATAACAGAGAAAATGCAATATATGCAAATAATTTACAACAAAACTATGTAAGAATACAAAGAATACAATAATGCCATTATGTCTCAACATCTGCCACTCTCCAATTATTGCATAATTACAATAGCTCTAGACACGGAAGCTGATGTCACTGCTTTTATTTTGTACAGATTATGTTTTAATGTTCATGCAACAAGACACAGGACAACAACTTTGAAAAATAAGGACCTGAAATGACATCATTCCTCCTTGTTATCAGTTGTGCATCTGCAATCCCACCAAGCCCAACCCATCCTCTGACTGAGATAGATGTTTCTATAGCTCTGAACTACTGTAATGATCTGCATTGTTTCATGCACGAGTACTACTAGGAAATAAAACCTCAGCGGAGAGGTTGCAAAAAATGCTACTTGCTAAGTACTAAATGTGTCTAGACTGCTAACGATATCACCATCTTATCTTCTGCAGGTACCCCAACAATTTGTGTCACTGTCTGGGCGGTGCTGAGACTTCACTTTGATGATACTGGGTAGGTATCGCTGCGTGGGAAATCATTTCATGTGCATTCAGCATGATGGCAAGGATGAAACAGAAATATAGTCATCAGAGGACATGAGTAATTTCTTCTTCCATTTCTGACACTGATTTGTGTGCGCAAGTAGTTTAGGTCCAGTGCTCAGCCTAGAGTGCTTTCCTGTTCAGCTATATAAATGGCCATAGTTCGATGTTTATGTCCCTATTGCACTGGTGAGTTGGTGAAAGAAGATGTAGGTATCTACTCTGCAAACCAGCAGCTGATCCAGTGGCCCTCTGTTCCCTGCTCAGTTAAATTAGTGGAATCCAGGATATGAGTTATCTCATCTTAAAAGAGCTGCCAGGTGAATCACACCTGTGATTGTCCTCCCCTTTCCAAATGATTATGAATGAAGACAAATATAATGGGCTCCTCTGTAGAAATTATTGCAGATATTCCTTACGTGATGACTGAAATCTGCACAAGGAGGTGCTGAGCTTTGATTTACAAAGGCAATTAGGAGTTTAGCTTCCCCTTGGAGAGTTTTTTTTCTACAAATCTATTGGGGGAGATAAGTAGAGGTGAGACAGAAATCCACATCTTGTCTTCTCTGTGAAAAAAAAATGAGGAAACGAAATAATTTCAGAAAGAATTCAAGAGGGTAGTTTCCATGCAAATGGTCTCTTTCGTGGGGAAAAAAACAACAACAACAACAACAATAAATGGTCTCTTTCGTGGGGAAAACAACAACAACTACAACAACAACAAACAAACAAACAAACAAACACACAAAAAACACCCTCCAACACAAAACGAACTGCAAAGGTCCTGTACCCTTTTCTAAAGAACCAGAAGGAAAGGCTGCTCCCAGAGAGGCCCTGCACTTCCCAATAGTCAGTAGATTCATTGGTCTGATACAGCAGCAGACATAGGTGGTAGGAACAGACATGAATGTACACCTTGAATATACAAACTTAGCAATGTTGGTTGGTTTTTTTTGTGACAGCTATGCTTGAAATTGATGAAGTGTTAGGAAAAATGCTGGGAATGAGGAAGACTGAAGTTGGACTAGATGATTGTTGTCGGTCCCTTCCAACTGAAATAGTCTAGTTCTGTTCTGTTCTGTTCTGTTCTATTCTATTCTATTCTATTCTATTCTATTCTACTCTAAAATTTGGAAAATCCAACAGTGGTCCTTTGAAAACCTTGATTTAGTGAAAGGCTTCATTATGCACCCAAGTGCCATTTCTGAGAGGCTTAGGCTTATGTTTTAATTTTGCCTTATACTAGAGATACCTGGATCCAAAATTTGCACCAGACTCACTATTCTGTCAGGTTTTCTTCATCCTTGTTCTTTCATGCTCTTTTTGGAAAGTACATAAAGCCCTTCCTCCACTGGGGATGCCAGTCCTTTGACCCAACGTTCTATTTTGACATTAAGACAAATTAAATCACTTATTTCCATGCAAAACAAGCCAGAACCCCCTGTTGTGTCATTATTATGATTACAGCACTGGTCCTAAATGCATTAATCTCTCTTAGGAGTCCAAACAGTCCCTGCATTTTGCGGGTAGGGGGAATGTTTCACAAAAGGAAAAAGAAGAAAAAAAAAAACCCAACAAAAACCCCTTTCCTTTCTTTTAGTTAGAGAAGCTATTTAACATGCAACACATTTAGACAAATTCTAGCTAAGCGTCTCAGTGGTTACTTTTAAAAAATCAGTTAGCATTGTTCTGGGGGTGGGGGAGAAGCCAGCATGAGCCAGAAAACATTGTAGAAATTACTGAACTGGGAAACCACAGTCGCAGAAGGCATGGACTAAAATACAGACTCAGAGTCTGAGTCTCCTCCTGTTTGCCCTTATAATACTGGCAGAGCTCCCTTGATTTCAGTTTCTGATTCACATCACTGTAAGTGACATGTTTGTGGAGATAAATGCAACTGTCTGTTTTTCCAGAGCTGTGCTACTGAATTAAATGGAGTGATGCCAGATGTACACCAGAGATGTAACAGAGATCAGGCTCTGGCCTTTTCAAATGGAAATCACATCCCTCCCCCATCCCACTGGCTCCCTTCCCTTCACCCATCCTGAAAAATAGTCCTGTGTGTCCGAGCTCCACTGTAGCAATGCATTTGCAAGAAACTAGGGAGCCTGTTTGTGTAGTACAGCCTGTTGGCTGATATTATAGACTGTTTTGTTGTGCACTGGGTGTTTTTTTTTTTTCCTTCTGGTCATGTTCATCTGAGGAGAAGATTGTGTTTCTTCCACCACATCCATCCTATCTGTGTCACATGGACTGGACCAAAATAGTCCTTGAAATAACTTTTGTGTGAGCTTAATTTGATTAATTGCTGACATCTACAAGGTAGACATTGGCAACTGAGCCTGCTGGGGACACATCCTGTAAAAGGAGGGGAATAGGTCTAAGTAAAATAAGCATTTGTAAAGGATGATGTATCACCCCAGAGCATACATTTAAAATACATCAGGAAAAAAAAAAATCAACAACCTCCAAGTGTCTGTTTGTTCCAACCAGAGAGTAGGATAATCAGCAGGGATGTAGGTGTCTTCAGTATAGCTGACTGGAACTAGAGCAGGTGGACTCCATCCCTTGTAATTTCTCACTTCTACACAGACAGGTTGCCATACATCAATGCCTGTTTGTACAGCCAGGTTAATATTAGAACGTGCTCAGATTCTTCCAGCATTAGACAACTGACTAAAGACTTTCAGGGTAGAGTTAATGTGCATCTCAGAGAGGTTGAGGCTTGCAAATACTGGGTAATTTTCAGCAGAAAGCACCTAATTTATAAATGCATAAAAAGACTTAAAAAGATAATTGGTGACTTTAGGTGCTTTTGTTTTGTGGCATACAATTGTTGATAACTGAAAAGAGACCGATTTCCACACTGCGGGTTAGAAGGAGTTCTCTCTGAACATTTGTTTCCTTTGAAATATTTTAAGTTGGGCATCCAAAGCAAGGTAACTCAGAAATGTTACTTTACATTTGAAAATCTCAGCCATCACTCCCCTGGATTTAAGTTTCTAGGCTTTGTAGATAGAAGAAAAAATATGTCATTTTGTGCAAGTTTGACATCCCAGCTAAAATTTTCTTTTATCACCAGTGCTACCAAACACATCCTTATTGTTGGTTTTATGGCAATCCAGTAAACTATTGCATATATAAGTTCAACCCAAATTTCTAACCCAGACATCACTCAGGTGCTTGCGATTTCTCTCAATGCACTTTGATGATGGAATTTTAGCTCTGCCTCCTCACGCTTACACATATATATATAGTTTTGTTTAAAGTGAAGATGTTCACTTTTCCCCCAGATGCTACCATTTAAATGACACAGAAGTTGCATTAAGCTCTCGTAAGATCAGCAGTGATTTATTCCTGTATGCTCTTTCAAATGGTTTCTTGCCATCTGACAAATGCACCATGACAACCACTGCTGGGACTTTTGGCTGTTGTTCCAGTGGGAGGGAAACCCTCCTTCTCAGAACTGCAGGTACAAAGTAGACATTTTTTTCTGTGATTTTATGTTTTCCAGAGGGAAGCATGAGGGGAAGAAAGCGGAGACAAATAGAAGACATTTTTTAACTGACAATCACATTCTTAATGACTTAAAATAGTGAAATAGTGTAGTGGGGGTGGTGTGGCAAGAGAAATAAGATTTTTTTTTTCATTCTTATTGTTTTTGTAGATATAAAATATATGTTAAAGTTAGAAAAAACTTATGTATATGGGTCCTGTAATCAGCTTTCGCTACAAATGAATGTCCAAATGCATCTGTATAGAATGAACTTAGGCAGAATTCTTTGGTGAATCTGGAGGATGATTTTACGTGCTGTGGTAGAAATGCCATTTTAATTATGATCACTCACTCCCAACAGCTTAAAAAAAGGAGCTGACCCCAACTGGTGTCCAGTACTTGAAACTTTTAGATGAATCCTTGCTCCTTGTTAGGACTTGCAACCCAATGACTTGAAAATCATTCCTATATGTGAATACAACCAACCTCTAGTACATCCTCAAGCACTAGATATCTGTAAGAATCCTCATGTCAGGGTCAGGAACCAACATTCATATGTGTTTACCCTGGAAGAGTAGCTGAGACACCAGACTTCGGAATAACCATCTCTTACCCTTCAAGGTATCCCTGTCTATTTTTGCCTTCTACTGAGATGTTAGTTTAAAGGGACAATTTTACAGTTGTATTGTCTGTAGGCATAGAAACATACATAAAGGCATAAAGGAAAGGACTTTTTACAAGGGCATGTAGTGATAGGGTGAGGGGGAATGGCTTCAAACTGGAAGAGGAGAGATTCAGATTAGATATAAGGAAGAAATTTTTCACTTTGAGGGTGATGAGGCACTGGAACATGTTGCCCGGAGAAGTTGTGGATGCCCCATCCCTGGAGGTGTTCAAGGCCAGATTGGACGGGGCTCTGAGCAACCTGGTCTAGTGGGAGGTGTCCCTGCCCACAGCAGGGGGGTTGGAACTGGGTGGTCTTCAAGGTCCCTTCCAACCTAAACCATTCCAAAGTGTCTAAACTGTTTATTAAGAGCTACCGCTGAAATTGCCACAATAATACTCATTTTACTTTCAGGTAAGTTGGGTAAAGGCTATAAAAAAAAGCTACAAAAAGGACAGACTGAAGAAATAGTGCCTTTGAACCCAAATAAAATCTTTTAGCTACAAGACCAATCTCCCACTCTCTGCCCCCTTAAAAACTGTTGTAAATTTAACTTCATTGTTGTATCTCTTTCTTTCTCTTTCTTTCTCTTTCCCCACCTCATTCTCTCATTAACAACTGCAGCTGCTGGGACATGAATGACAACACTGCCTTGTGGTGGGTGATCAAGGGTCCTGTGGTTGGATCAATCATGGTAAGTGGCACTTGGAGATGTTTCCTCAACACTTCTGAAGGCAAATAAGCCATGCAGATAGCTTCAAATGGCTTTACAAACTATGCTGCATCAGCTGTGCTGGAGTACTGGACAGCTTGCCTTGAATGTCCACCATTTGCCATCCACAATGCTAAGTAATTCCACTGTTATAAAGAAGATTTAGTACAAGTTAAACGATGGTGCACTGCCTGCAGGCAAAGACTATATAGGCAAGGAGTTATTCAGCTGCTTAAACATCAATAACAAATACCATAAGATCCTAGAGCATATGGAGCATCTGCCTGGGGCTGGCAGATATGACATAGGATGTATGGGAATCCTGTGCCGTTTGGGGTAGAAGCTGAAGGCCAAGTGGGACAACCCCAGGCATCTAGAACAATACTAGGTGCCAGAGACTAGGAAACTGGGCTGTGGCTGTTGCATGGAATTAAATTCACAGCTACATTTATTTATCTAATATTAACATTATAACAGTATTGTGGTTCAGTAGTGGTAATAGTGCAAGATGCCCAATTGTCAACAAGGTATCTAAGCTCTCTTTAGTTGATGGAGGGTTTGGATTTGTCTCAAGTGTTGCTAGATACCTGTGTGTGGACCACTCACACGTTCTAAAGTACACTGTTTGGGCTCCAGCTGCTGTCCCAAAAGAATAAAGGAATTTTAAAATTGTGTTGGGCTCCTCCAGTTAGGAAATGAAATTGAGTCACTAGACAATATGGTTAGTGGTATCTGAAAAGCTGTTTGGCTTACCACACGTAGGTGTCTAATTCTGGGCATGCTAAGTTGCTCTCCATACACCAGTGACAGCGTTGGCCAGGTCTTCATTGACTGTTGAGGGGTTTTTAGACATCCAGCTCATAGGTAGTATTCTACATGTAGGTGCTTTCATCAGGTTTGGTGCTTCTTCTTTTAATTATTTGGACAGCTCTCCAAAGTACAGTAACTTTCAGACACAATAAAGGTAATTCAGCTAAGAAAACTAAAGCGTATCAAGATGGAGAGTGTCCAACAAGCTGGGGGTTTTGTGATATCTATGTACGTGTATTTCCAGGCTTTGCAGACATATTTTATGAAGGATCACATTCTGGCTTTGGGGAATTGGTTATACCTGGCTTCTGTTGAAGGTGTTAAAGATTCAGACAGCTAGCAAGAGGCAACCAGCCTTCTCCATTTCTTTGTAGTCCTCAAATCAGATAGAAAATTCTTCTGAAAGAAATGCTCACATCTAGTTTAAGTCCTTGGTCTCCTTACAGGATTAAAGGGTTACACAAGGGCTCAACTTAAATTTCCCACTCTTTTCTGATGACATTAAGATGCTATGGAGTTGGTGACAGCCGAATCATCAAAATAAACTGATTTTATTTATCTCCAAATTTTTCAAACTATATCAGTAATGACATGATTCTATGGAAGAGAAGATGCCCAGGATGACATACAACTAACAGACATGAAGATGAACATTAACACCCACGACCCACACACAGACAGTCCCCCCCTCCCAAAAACATTAGAGGCCATCTCATCTTGTGCCGGATTTAGGCGAGGAGAGGGCAAGTGACACAACTTGGGATTTTCAGGAAAGGGGAGACACTACATTGTGACTGATGGTTGCTGCTAAACTGCGAAGTGCCGTAGTTCAAAGAATGAGAGTTAAAGTTGCTTTTACTGTTGAGATCCTTGCTACACAGTTTTGATGTGCAGGCATCTTTCTTTTTATTCTTTGCACTGGTTGATAATGAAAAATGCTGAAACTTTTTCAATTATGTTTGTCCTATCTGGTGCTTGGGACTGAAGAAATTCTGCCTTACTTTAGCTGTTGCAAGGGACATATTTTCCTGGAAAAGGGGTGATAAGACCCTTGTAAACTTATCCCATTGCTCCTGACCCTATAAAACTCGTAGACTGGCAATGGAGCCAGCAAGTCACTGTGAATGTCTCATTCTCATACTTGAAAAAAATTCATCATTGTAATAATTTTTTCCTTTCTTTTTCCCCTAGATAAACTTTGTGCTTTTTATTGGCATAATTGTGATACTTGTGCAGAAACTCCAGTCACCTGATATTGGCGGCAATGAATCCAGCATTTACTTGTAAGTACAAATAAAACAGTAATCAATTTAGATCTCTAATATACACATAGGAAAAAAGACAAAGTCAAAAACGCACCTCAGCCGAATTAATTTGATTTTCAAAAAAAGTCACAGGATCTATTAAATTACTTCAGTTGATTTTTACCTTTTTTAAAAAAAATCCAAAAGCCACAAAAGTGCATTTAATGGCAGCTTTTGCCTTTCTTAAAAGGCCTAGGAAATATGCATAAATATAAGCTTAAAACAACAAAAGAACCCCAAACAACTTCTTTATTGGTCAGTTATCTGGAAATTAGCATACTGACTAGGCATAAAAATTATTTTACTCATGGGACAGTCTGCTGTGCTTCATACGTTCCAGCGACGTGGTCCAAAGTTCATTGAAAGCAATGAGATTTGGTGAAAAGTTTTCATTAACTTTGGACTGAATTCTAATTTAGGAAGATCTAAAGTTGTTTATGTTCATGCTTCTTGTAACCTTGAATGCATTACACTTAAGCCAACCAACCCACACACCCCCCCCTAGAATTGCTTAAAAATGCACAACAATTCCTAACATTTGCCTTTAGAAGTTTTAAAACTTTGTGATTCATATTTTTTTTAAAGCCGATACCCCTTTTGTTAGTTTCCACCTCATTAGAGGACAGAGACTGACCATTTGAGATGGTCATCATTCCCATTTTGAGTGCATGCAGTCATTCTCCATATAAAATTATATACTCATTTTGAATAACCAGGATATGTGGCAGCACATGTTTTGTTGGCTTTTCAGCCTAAACATCACACACATTTGCTTCACAATTTTTTTTAAGCTCTGGTGATCTAGCACTCGTTAACATACATAAGACTCTTTCATTTCACACTGGATCCCTGGTGAAAAGAGGCAAGTCGTGCAAACTTTAAATAAAAATAAAAGATGCCAGGGTAAAGTAGGAGATCCTCATTTGTTGTAATTTAAAAAAAAAAAAAAAACCAAAACAAACAAAAAAACTATCCCACCCTCAGTTTCGCCCTAAGTAACCACGCTCATAGTATTTTGATGTCATCCATCTAAATCACAGTTTTCAGGGAAAAACTATGTCCTCCAGCTACCTATTTTTCTTCCCTTCTTTCCTACTGTCTTGTTTACATTTAAAGGAAATGATAATATTTTACAGATCACTTTTTCATGTCTGTAATCAGACATCCACTTACTGAAAGCACTGCCCTCAAAGCTTGCTCTAAACCGTGTTTCCACAGACAAAAACGATGCTTTAAATTCATTCTGCAGGTGGATATATCTCAGAAGTAAAACTCAGGAGAAAGTGTAGTGAATAGGTTAACTGTATGCATGGTTTGCCAATGGCTTGCATGAAGATTTCCCATGTATGTGCTGCTGGGAAGTCGTCCACTGAATCTTAGATTGTAATTAGCACCCAAGATGTGCAGAGCTAGTTCTGATAATGACCTGCTAAATGCATGTTTAGTGTCTGCTGCACATCTCTCACATATGAAGCAAAGCATGCCGTGGATTCCAGTGATTTAACTCGAGTATGAAACATCCTTGTCATTTTTGATCAATATGGTGACTGGGTTCTACTGATATTTTTCCTATGTGTATAGTTAGCCACCAAAACCAAGAGAAAACATCATATTTTCTGTTTCATTCGCTGCCATTATTTTTCATATTTTTTTGCAACTTTATAAATGGGTGTGTATAAATTGATCTTGCATTTATGTATGTGTTATGAAGTGGAGTGTTGTTTATCCAAACAGATTCGACAACAGAAAAGTCACATAGAAATGATAAAAAAGAAATGAAATGAATAAGTCTCTGCAGATATACACGAGGCATATTCCATATTTGTGCACAAATATCCTGTAAAAGAGAGGTGTTTTAATGAAGACAAAAGATAGCTCATAGCATGGTTATGTCACCATATTGAAATCTCTGTGGCATTTAGAATGTGGTCCATATTAAGCATTTTCCATGTCCTATTTTGCTGTTTAAAACTATTAAACATCATCCCATCAGACTAAATTCTTCATCCAGATCTTTATTCCACAACATTTTTAAGTACTTTGCCTTTAGTACATCTTTAGACAGATCAGTTGTGGTTAAGGAAGGGTGTTCAGCCTGTTCCTGAAGGTAATATCACACAGTATCTTCAGTAGTGATTGAGATTTACTCTGCTATCAATAATCCACTCTTTGGAATAACCCTTTAGCCAGGACTTCCATCATCAAAAAAGAAAATAAAAGACCCTAAAAAAAATTTAGTTATTGATTTTGAGTAGGATTTATTTTCTTCTTATATGTATGGGACAAGTTAAGCTCAGGCCCATTTAATGATAACTTTTGTTAGGAAAATCTACCTGCAGTTCTATTTTAGAGACACTACGGTCATGGTTCTGCAAATCACTTAAGCCTCTACTTGGCTTTACAAGCCTTGGGGTTGTGCTTAAATTCAGAGATTAATTATATATTATTACCACTGTGCACTCATTATTAAAAATTCCCACTGCTGAAGTTAGCTGCGAGCTATGACAGGCACACAACAGAAGAGTGCACTACTGGGGAACTAATGCTTAATTAATATAGTGTGGCCACTAGAGATTGTAAGACTTGCTTTAAAAAACCAAACAATAATTTGTATAATTTACAGCACAATAATGAGTGCTTTACTCCCATAAAAAATCAGACTTTTTCTCTCAGTAACCTGATGGTCATTATATGCAATAGCCTTTGCCTTTAGGCTGACAGAACCTTGGGAACACGTAGCTAACTACTAACAGTTTTCCTCAGCCATCAAATGCTTTAGTGATTGCAAACTTCCATTTTATCAACTCGTATGTTCAGTCATTCATTTACCAGTCTCATGCCTAATCGACCTTTCTTCACACATTTGGTTTCCCTCTCAAACTGCCTGCATGCTGCCAATCCCATTTCAGACCGAACAGCACAAAACACGTCAGATTCTGGGAGCGCAATAACCCCATCCTTCTTTTACTGATGTTTTAGATAGAAACTCCTCCTTATGACTGAAATGATTGGGGGCTAGATTCATCCAAACTATCTAAGCAATTGAGGTAGGAATCAAAAAGGAAATAGAAGCTGCGTTTTTTAATATTCTTTTTAATTTTATGATTATTTGGTTTGTTTTTTTTTTTCTGAGAACCTTAAGCAGCTCCTCCTAGTAGTCATCATAATCATTATTTACTTTTTAGTGTTAGGCGTGAACTGCCAAAGGCATAAAAAAGACATAACTTTGTTTCTTGAATCATGTTTGGTTTCAGTTAACCTTGTGTCAGTCCATAATAATTCCACCAAATTAAGCATCAAGCCAAAGCAAGTCCAGTGATGCAAATGCAATAGATTTTTATCTGAGCAAGAAGTTCTGAGATCCTTAGGTGCTGGGGAAACATAAAATAATATTGATTGTATTCCTAGTGTAATTAAGACACCTATCTGCATAGTTCAGAGAGGTTTCTTGCCCCGTTTGGTGAATGAATTGCATAAATACCTGTAATTTGCCATGGGCATGGACATGATGCAGTTAATCCTATAGTACAAATGAAAATGTTTTTTATTTGTAGCTGTATATTCAATCCAGCTAGATTTTACTTAACATGCTTCCAAACAGAAAGCACAGCCTGATTTTTATCAATCTCCAATTGCATGGTTTATAAGTATTTTGAAGCAGTAGTAGATTATTTGGCTATAATGTTACACCATACGCTGAAGGCCCAGTAGCTCCACATCAGAAGTCCGTGAATCCAACGTGCACTCACAGTTCTGGGGACTGAAAACACACATTCACAGCCAGCTCTGGTTGGTTAAGCACACAGTGTGTCACACCAGGCCCACATTATTTACATTGATTTTCATACATCAGTTCCTTTTCTGGAGTTTTAGGAAGTGGATAATAAATTGACCTGGTAAGGCTTTGTTGTTTTCCCCATGAGAAATCCAGCCAGGAGTGTGTAACATGGTATGTCAGTATCTGCTTTGAGGCATCCTGGTTTTGGTCAAGTTGTTGCAGAAAATGTACATTCACACACCCCCTAGAAAACATATTCCTATAGGAATGCCTACACAAAGCCTATATCCACGCTATTATTTTCATGAGCATTGTTGCATCGCTGAAAGAGTCATAATAGACAGAAGATCATCTAACAGTACGACTACCATAAGCCACGACAGTAATTAAGTAGGTATGCATGATGCAGATGCATGCTGGAATAACCCTTAAGTTTGAAAAGGCCCACACATTTCCATCAAGTCTTTGCTTATTCATTCATTTTCAAGGATCGAACACGTTTAAGTGAAAAAGCTTCTTTTTTTTTTTTTTTTTTTTTAATTATTTCCACTTTATCATGAATAGTATAATTTGGGAGGGGGAAGCTTGTTTCTGCTTTTGCTTTAACAGATTCTTCATAAATTTTGTATCACATGTCGAAAACTCAATGAAAAGAAAATAAACCCCACATATATCTAGCTAATTCAGGTCTACGTCATTCCTCCAATCAGCATCTTGCTGGAAAGAAAGGAGAAACATGGCATATATCATAGGTAGGTATGATTTTACATATGGTGCAACCTAGAGGGTCAGGGCAGGAGAAGCAATGTTGTAACACAAATGTTTTGGTAAACAACACTCCTCTACAGTTCACCGACAAAGTCACCAGACAATGATTCATTCTGCTACCGCTTTGTCTTGCTGCAAGTGCTCAGACTGCCAGCATTGATAATTATCGGCAGGGTCTTCATGCCAAAAGTCTCGTTTTTTACAAGAAAATGGCAGATGTTTAATGAACGGTGTATTCTTTAGCATGCCACTTTAATTTCTTAACCCCAGGTGCTACCAGTTGAGTGCTGGAATGCCCACTAACCCAGCAATGAAAAGGAACATGTGTCCCTGGGCTAATCCTTTTCTATCACAAGAAAATGCAATGGAAAACATAGGTGATGATCATTTGGTGTCAGTGCATGATCAACAAGGACCTAGTTCTCATTTCTAA